AATGTGATCACGATCCTTGAATGTGATAGAAACATTTGTTGAATATTATGATCTTTACATGTGTTGAATGTAATTTTTGCCCTTAAATGTGATCACGATCCTTGAATGTGATAGAAACATTTGTTGAATATTATGATCTTTACATGTGTTGAATGTAATTTTTGCCCTTAAATGTGATCACGATCCTTGAATGTGATAGAAACATTTGTTGAATATTATGATCTTTACATGTGTTGAATGTAATTTTTGCCCTTGAATGTGATCGAAGTTCTTGAATGCGATCAAATTAGAGCCCTTGAATTTTGCAACATTTCGCCTTCCATACCCCATTATTTCTAAAACTGCTGAGAAGGTAGTGATACCGCAGGTTCTCGCCCACTGCTCTGAGCATGCACCTCTACCGAATAATCAGTCATCCTATCGACAACATCACTCGACTGAGACTGCCTTGCTTAAGGTACAGAATGACATTCTCCTCAACATGGACAGGCAAGAAGTTACTTTGCTCGTCTTGCTCGATCTTAGTGCGGCTTTTGATACGATAGATCACACTATCTTGGCAGACCTTCTAGAGCGTGACTTTGGCATCAGTGATCTTGCTCTCTCCTGGATAACATCATTTATGCGTGGGATGGTGCAACGTGTAACCATCAAGCAGGAGCAATCTCGGGACTTCTCCCTTTCTAGTGGAGTTCCACAAGGAAGTTGTTTAGGCCCTTTGTTATTCATCATGTACGCTTCTCGGTTGTTTCACGTGGTGGAAAAGCACCTGCCCTCGGTACAAGGGTACGCTGACGACACTCAACTCTACCTTTCATTTCGCCCTACGTCCACCCTTTCACAAGATCAACCGATCCSAGCTATGGAGGATTGCATCGCTGATGTTCGAGCTTGGATGGGCCATAATATGTTAATGCTTAACGATAGCAAGACGGAATTTTTGATTATCGGTTCCCGTCAGCAACTCGCAAAGATAAGTATGGGCTCTGTTCAAGTCGGCGATTCTGAGATTGTGTCAACCTCGTCTGTCCGCAATCTTGGGGCCTGGTTCGACAAGAATATGTCAATGGATGCGCATGTTGGGAAGGTCTGTAGTAAGGCCTTCTTTGGTCTTTACAAGATTAGGCAAATAAGGAAGTTTCTATCGGAGGATGCTACCAAAACTTTGGTTCACGCATTCGTCACCTCTCACRTGGATTATTGCAACTCTCTGCTCTACGGTGTTTCGCAGTACCAGCTTAATCGCTTACAGCGTGTACTCAACGCTGCAGCACGTGTCACGTGCCTTCTTCCACGATACTCCCACATCACTCCTGTGTTGGTTCAACTTCATTGGCTTCCCATTGTCTCCCGGATCAGATTCAAGATTGCGCTGTTGGTTTTCAAAGTTCTTCGTGGCTGCGCTCCATCTTACTTATCTGAGCTATTACACTTGAAGGCTCCTGGGCGCTATGCTCTGCGTAGTGACRATMAACATCTCCTTGTGATTCCACGAACGAACTGTAAAACATTTGGTGACCGAGCATTTGCGGTAGCCGGAACAGTTTACCATTATACAGACGCAAATCCAGTGACTTGCAGACTTTTAAAGCTAACTTGAAAACATCTTTATTTAGTCAATCTTATTAATTTATTTTAGCATTTATTGTTCTAATTCAATGTAAATAGATTTATATAAATATATATAATTTTTCRACTATTGTTAAGCGCATTAGAATATTTTAATAATTAATTGCGCTATATAAATTAATAAATTATTATTATTATTATTG